CTAACCTGTTGCTGGCTGTCAAAGGAAAGCAAATAAGCATACTTCCTACAATGTAGACCTGTTATAGAGCACACTGAAGTACAGTATGTTTTGAATGCAAATACAAACCTGTCATGCATAATAGTCTGTGCTTGGAAGAGAGGGAAGCTTTGTATACAGCTATATGAAAATTTTCCAGGAATTTCCCTGCACAAGCACACAAGTCAGCTCCGTGTATTTACACTACAGCTGTGAAGAGGTCAGACAGGTTCTGTTCTTAGCCATGCCATGTACTGCAAAGTAACTGTGATCTTTGAGATACCCTGCTAGCACTTGTATTTTCTTTATGTTTTTGGCCTAGATTTTTTAAAATATGTTCCAGGTCATAGTTTTTAAGGACATATTTGATTTTTTTCTCAATTCCTGCCTCCTTTTATTGATTATATAGTAGTCCAGTGCATTTATCCTATTCTTAAATACCACCTAACTATTGCAATCAGCAGTGAAACAAAAAAGCATTTTGAACATTTAAAAAATTAATTACAAAAACAATCCTGCATTCACAAGTTTACTTAAGCAAAACACTAACAAAAAATACTTCAAATAATCTTTCTAAAGCACTGTGTTTTTATATACTGATGTAAAGTATTCATTTACAAAGTTACTAAATTTCTGGGGTAAAAAGAAGAAGGTGCCTGTGAAATGTAGCACAATTAAAAGTCCAAAGCAGCATTAAATGGAAATACTCAAGAAAAGTACAAGAACCTCAAAGTACTTGAGGCTGGAACAAATAAAAGTTTCCTCCACTGTTGTCAGAGCAAGAAGCCTGTTAGCCTGGGAGCGTTAATTACTTGACTCAATTAACAATTTATTTTGACCTACATTCTTTTCAAATGAAGTGTTAAGGTTTCTCTCTCACTCGACGTCTTGGCTCTGAGGTGATCTTTCAGAGCAGGATGGGTCTGGCTGCTTAGCACCAGCCATTAGGCCTTTTCCCCTTCATCTTCTAAAGCTATTCTCTTCAGCTGTGTTGACTGTAAACACACTACCAGGGCGGTTTTTATCGCTTCCTGTTCTGTCCTCACACATGCAAAGCACAACAAAACACATACACCAAGCAACACAGCACCGGGAGCTACAGAGGAGAAGCCTGGGAGCAAAAAATGTATCGCGTGTGAGTTGTGTTTTTGAGCTGTGTTGCCGTACAGCTATGACACTTTTGCTGGTATTTGTATGTGAACATGCATGTGAGAGAGGCTTCATTTGCATCTCAGTTATGCATTGAATACCATTCTTAAAGCAAGGACTTAGCTGTTCTTGTTTCAGTTCCCCACACAGCGAGTTGAATGTCAGTTTATAGACACTAATGATGGCCAGAGGGTGTGAAATATTCCCTCAGCCATCAAATAGAATTAAACATAAAAATTAGATTTAGCTCCTGAACGTGACTATAATCCATCAAACAGAAAAAACTATTTTTTTGCCGCTTAAGATGGCATAGTATTTAATGTTTATTTCATGTCAACTTGTGTAACAAAGAGCTAGAGTCAAATAAAAAAAACTAGTAAAGTTACAAGAAAGTGCATTTGAAAACTGCTTATTTAGCTTTTATGACAAATTATATAAATCATATGTGAAAGCAAAAATCTATCTCTATCTCCCCAGCTGCAGTGATCATGGCTTTTCATTCTTCACAGATGATAATAGAGTCATCCTTCAGCTGCTTTGAAAGTGTCTGGTGGAGTCAGGCTGTGCCATTGTTTGTCAAGGATAATAGCATAAGGTCTGAGAGAGCAGTGAGTTAAAAAACAGCTGGCAGTCAGAGATGTTGTTTATGAGCGGGATTAGATAATTCACATACTGTAAATCAAGCTCACATAGTCTGCGGCTTTGAGGTAAAACCAAAAACTTATGTATGTAGCTTAAGCTACACCTTTGAATAACAATTAATGCATTGTACTTTTGTTGTTTTCCCTTTAAATGTAATTGAAGCAAGGGCAAAACAACTTAAGCGCCTTCAATTTTCAGGTTTGTTTCTTGCCTTTCAGCCCTGGGATAATTGCAGTGTCAACTAAGAAACCACAGGGACACAATAAGTAAAAATCAAGTGAGGTAACAGCTAGTAAAGCAAGTCACTACAGTACATAATAACAACAGACTAACACATTTGGTAGTTAAAGATTAGCTTTAGCAGCCTTTATTAAATATATACCGTAGACTTGAATGTGTGCTTTTCAGAGCTGTTAATGATGCAGAACTGTTTTGGGTGAAAACAGGGACAACATCTACATGCGGGTCACTAGCACGGGGGTGGCACAGGGGCATAGCTGTTCAAGATATGAAGCACTAGCATTTTATATAACAAATTACATATGTAAAATTACTGTGCCCCTTTGCCCCAACGTAAGGAGAAAGTGCTCCTTAGTAATAATCAGGTGCAGGAGATGCTACCAGGTCACTGAAATGTCAGACAGTTTGGTTATGTGTCCGTCTGTACTGAGAAAAACAGCCTTCAGCAGCCACTGCAGCCCCAAGTAACTGCAATGTAGGACTGATTGATAGAAATGTTATCATATAAGTCAGTCAAGTAGATTTTACTAGCATTGCCTTCTTTAGATTGTCCTCAGTTTTGGTCAAACCCTGAAGTAAATCTGATAATATGACAGAGTTCTGCTTTTTCTATCCATGTAATGCCTCATTTAGTAGATTTGATGGCAGCTGCTACATTATCAGTTTGCAAGATAAGCTCTAGCTCAAAACGCATATCAAACAGTGATATTAGCTTTACTTAATGCGACATAGAGACTGCAATGCTCTCTTTTAGAAAACCAGCTGATCATTTTAAGCCTTACCTGGACAGTTCAAATGTAACTTTCTTGTGGTCACTTGCTGTCGGTCCGTTCGCACATTTCCCCTCAGCCTTAGTTACATTTTCTAGTGTTTTGTCTGTAAAATGGAGAAATGTTGTGCAAAGGTTGAATGAGACATTACTCTGCAGCTGTTTCCCAGAAGGGCAAGTTAATGGGTAACTTTGTAACTAAGGTGTGCTCTCTCCCGCCCACTAGTTCTCCTGTTTGTCCAATGGCACAGCAGACCTGTTCAGAGTCATTGTTATCAGTCAGTAGTGCCAAACCAGGAAGAGGTCAAATATGACTTGTGAGCAATATGTCATATTTTATATTGTGTTTACCACTGTGCCTCCACAAGTGAAACAGTAAGCAACCCGTTAAACCTGGGGTTTTTTTTGCAAATAGAGGTACAGTTCCAGTAATAATCTTGTTTAATATTGGCTTTGTGTGTATTTTTCCCCTTCTTGTGTGTGACTGTTTGTGTACTTTAGTTGGTGGGGCGCCTTTTCTGTAAAATGCAAATAATTGTCTCAGCCATTTCAGATGTGGGTGGAAATCAGACAAGATATACTGTGTGGCAATAAGGAGTGTTGTTTATTTAAGACTCGCGGCCTGAGTGGAGAGAACAGACCTTTGGTGGTTCTGAAAGGAAAAGCGAGGTGACCCTGAAAACAATAGGGCCACTTCCTGGCCACATGCAGTGCAGTCTGCATCTTTACATCTCTCTCCCTTTCTCTTCCTCCTCCTGTTCCTCCCTCCCTCTGTGTGTTCCAGGACGCTTCAGCTCCAGGTCTTTGGGCAGATGGCAGGAACAAGGATGCATGATGTTCAATAAAACAGTCATGGTGGAGCAGCAGCATTAAGGCAGATATACCCTAACAGATGTTTTTGGCCAATTGAGGGCAGCAAAAACAAGTTGTAAAAACAGCAACAGGGACAAGTTGATGTGACCAATTACTGTAGTTAGCAGAGAGTTGCTTATTTACACAGATACAGACACAGAGCAAGATAAGCAAGGAGTCCAAAATTCACCCTTCTTTTAGCATTCACCAGCTATCTCTGTGCGGTCTGGTGCTTCGGAGGGAGCATACAGTTTATCAGAGCTTTTTGGCTAAAACAGCTGCCTAGTTCTGGTGGAAACAACTCTGATGACAACCAAAGCAGTAAACTGGTGGGCCATAAAAAGCTCTGTAAGGCTAAGAGGAAGTGGAACTTACAGGAAGCGCAGGGTGCATAATGCAGCTGTCAAGAAAATATAAGCTGGACATTTACAGATATAAGTGAATGTGCAAGTGTTCACTGCTATTAAACAAAAAATTGTAATGTATTCACAAAGTTCACAGCATGGAATAATTTAATGGATTAATTTTCCAGTGTGGTAGTATTTTTTTTTTTTATCTTACAGCTATCACCCTGAGGCAGGCAAACTTAAGCAAAGTCAAGGTCATTAGTGGCACCATTAAGCCGTACTCAGATCCTGGATAAGATTGTGGAGCAGGCCAGGGGCTTTCCCCACATTCGCTGCCGTGCAATTTTTACTATTTGTTCTCTCGGTGAAATGGTGGGGGTCTGAGGTCATGGACCCCTCTGTGGCGAAGATGGGGAGGTCTTGCAAAATTTTTTTAAGGGGGGTAACAACACATGTTGCTCTGTATGTAACAATGGACCATCAGACTTGAGGAGGAAGAGCTACAGTATGTGATAAACAAGCCTTCCACTGGTCATTAGGTGTCAAGAAGAGACATTCCAAAGTGCTCAGCAGGCTACAGTGGTGGCTATGTTTTATTTTCTCACCTCTCACAAAATTCCCTGCCAGCATTACTGTGATCTACAGCCACCTAAGTGTACATTCTGCAAAGTGCTTGCTGCACATTGTTCACCTTTTTGAAGTGTGTGAGTCTATATGTGGCATCCATTTGGAAATATGATTATGTGAGCGAGGCTCTTTACACATCTGCTCCAAATCTTTTAATTTATGAGTAAAACAGCTGTAATTTAATTTAAACTTTTGTATTATTCCTCATGTTCCTTTAATTGACTTTTAGATTAAATGTGATACTTGGTATTGGGTGTCTAATTTCATTAATTGAGGTGCTCCTTGAAATTTGCCTCTGCACATTTAAATAAGTAATTTTGTCTTTTCCTGCTTCTTTCAGTATATTTTACTCTGCTGCCTTGATGACCCAGTTTTGACACAGATTGTTTATGTTTCATCTAATTTAATCTAAGAGTTTCCTGACTATTCTGCATATGCTCAGTGGTGTAACATTACGTACCTTACTGGAAAGCTTACAGAGTCTGATTTAGTTTGGCTTGATATCCTGCAACTTCTTGCAGGTGTAATTCTGTGCATGTTGAAAGAGAAGGAAACATTTTTATCATTATCAGTCTGTTAGTTTCTCTCTCTCTTTTTTGTAAACGAACAAAGCTTATTTAAACACTTTCTGTGTATGCAGTATAAAACATAAGGCTGGATGCTTACAAATCTTTTAATGGTCCCTCCAATACATTCAGATCCATATTTACAGTTTTTCACAACTGCTAAAACAATAAATCCCATTCTCTGAACCAAATTCTCAATAGCCTAAACCAATTTGTCGAATAAATCACTCTTTCTACAAAACCTTAAACAAGTTCAGGCATTTAAACTCTGTTAACAAATCTCATGCACTCTTTTTGCTAAACTCTAAACACATTCTCACTCGTTAAAGCACAATTCACACTGTGATGAACCTGTGTTGCAAAACACTAAACAGAGGACAGCAGAACTTAAACACAACTAAAGCACAGTTGTCATCGTTTACACACAACGATTCAAAATTGTTCACACTTGTTTCTAATTATATGATGAGAAGGTACAAATCATAAGCCAGTTCAAAGTGCACAGGTACATCCATCAACTATGGACTGTAAATGGTAAATGGACTGTATTTTATATAGCGCTTTCTCACAGTGTGTTACACTGGCCAAAGCGCTTTACAGGAGATCATACACCATTCACCCATTCACACACACATTCACACACCGATGCTGCCGATAACAATATGAGAGGTAGAGGAATATGAGGTGTTGGACAAAAAGGACGAGGAAGAGTAAGACCTTCCACCATACAGCACTTTCCTCAACCCAACAGAAGAGTTTTTCTCTGCATGGCGGTGGAAAGTCTATGACCGAAACCCATATACCAGGGAACATCTCTTACAGGCAATGGAACTGGCCTGTGGTGAGATAGACGTGCAGTCTTGTCAAGGCTGGATCCGCCACACCAGTGGATTTTTTGCCCGTTGCCTGGGAAGGGACAACATTGCCTGTGACGTAGATGAAGCCCTCTGGCCAGGCCCAGCTCAAAGACGTGATCCTGGGGCTGAATAATCTTTCTGATGTGTTTTTCTTCTTCTTCTTCTTTTTTGATCGTAACATGGTTTTTGGTAAATTCACTATACAATAAACTTTTTTTGTTGTAACTACATGTCCTGGATGCTGTGTTCTCCTTTTTTTGATGTAGTGTCTAATGACTGAGCTGCAGTGTGTATATGATTGACTCATTTGTGTATGATCTGAAAGCATTGTTTGATTTTGAGTGCTGGTGACATGGTTTTGAAGCAATTGCTTAATTTTGCCAGACGAGTCGGAGGTTTTGTGAATTTAGTTTGAATATTTGGATTTGTGTTTAAGGTTTTGAGAAAATGAGTGATGCTTTCAGGAAACGTGTTTTAGCAATTCAGAAAAACTGTAATGAGCTGGATGCTTCTGCTGAGACGAACATGATTTATCTATCTATCTATTTTCTGTAACCTTCCTGTTGACTAGCATGGTTGTGTGAACATACTCTTAAGAGGCTCTAACAAAACACTGACTGATAAACGTGTAAAGACAGAGCTGTATTAAAAATGTCAGTGGCTCACTGTGTTATACCTCGGCATGGATACTGTGGATCTGCCAACTTTGGGAGTTTGATACAAAAGTTAACACATTTTTATAAGATCCAACTGTGCATTTTTCTAATCCCTTGGTGAGAACTGCAAGAATATTTATGCGAAAAGTAAGAGTGCTGCAGGATTCGGTAACGGTTCAGTGAGGAGTCTGTGTTTGAAATGTCTCATATGGAGGTAATAACGGCACAGTGTGAAAGACTCTTTGAGAGCGCTAATTCTGTATATTTAGGGGTGCACATGATCCAGTTTTTAAACAATATACATTTTTTGTTGGCTACTAAAATCACTAAACAGATCCATTCCCATGGGCTGTTGGTTAGAACCAACAAGAAAGCTTCATAAAAACAAGACATTTAATGTGGTTACTGCAGGAACCCCCCTTCCTGTTTAATAACACCGAGCTGTGTCCAACTGCTGCCTCACAAATGTGCTGTTCAGACTGTTACATACACTGTTATACATTGAGATAAACAAGATATTTTTAAAGATAACTCCCTGCCAAGCAGGCATTTGAAAATATTTAAGAAGCTGTATTTTTATCTAAAACACATCAGGAGTGCCACAGTTTGGCATTCATCAGTGAGAGGTGCATACATGTGCAAAAATCAAGAATCACTGTTGCCTGAAAGATGCATTGAAACCTGTTCCTTTTTGCTTTAAGCAGTAAGGCCAAACCAGTAAACATTTTTTTTTAAACAATGGCTTTTGCAAACAAAAACTTAATTAAAGACTATTGCATTTCTAGTTTTCTTTTTAGGGATTTAAATTCAGTGGATTTCCCACAATGGCATGCATTTGACAGTGCTGTTGTATTCACAGCAGCACTGCTGGATGTAAGAAAATGTTTTTAACCAACTTTCTCAGTCACTACAGGCACATGCATACTTTGGCACTAACAGCCATCCAGCTCTGCTGTGTCCCTCCTACTGACTGGCTGATGGGAATGAGAACCTATGACCTGCAGAGCTGTGTGACCATGTCTGTGTGTGTGAGCGAGAGAAAGAGAGAGAGGGTGTTGAGCAAATAGCTATCAGACGGGAGCCGAGACCCTCCACCTCCACCCCGCCGTCACCTCCACAGGCCTTTTCCTGCCTGTAGGGTGATTCCTGCCCCTGCGCTCCCTCCACTTCCTTCACACACATATCAGCCTCCAGCAGCATTACCTCTTCCTGAATGTTGCTCAAGTTCTCTGGACA